GCTCACAGTTGATGCATTTGATGCTATAGACTCCAGAGAAATCAAGTTTGTCAACATTCTCGTATTGCCGTGGCAGGCTTGTGAAGAGTGTTGCTTTGTCTTTTGTTATCACCTTGATGCTCCATTTTCGTGATTTAGTTCACAGGAAGGCAGGCATTTCCACTTTTTGTCGTCCCCCAATTTATGATCTTATTTTCATAAAATCCTAGTTTAAATCTGCTCTATATGGCCCTTATATTTCTGTCTATAAATTCTCTGGGGTACCCGCTACTAATGCAAATACAAGTCAGATATTCCTCGTTTCAGAACTCAGTATCCGTTAGTCTCCATCCTCATTATTCCGATCTTCAGTCTGTAGTTGTGGTGAGACTAGAAAGTAAGGATTATTCCCGCATATGATTTCTTTCTGAATAATCTCCTCTTGACTATTCCGTTGGAGCAAACGACCTCAACAACCAGAAAGAGTAGTCGTTTATCCCCCTTCCTCTCCATTGTGAATTTAATTCTTCCATCCAGTTGGTTTATTAAATTAAGGAATTCATCCCAATTTTCCTTACCATGCGATCAAAGTGCAAAGTAGTCGTCCAGGTATCGCATAATCACTCTTTGTTGCAGCGGTGACTGCTCGAATTCCTTCTCCAATCTGTCCATGGATACATTTTCCAAAAGAGTTGAGAGTAGAGACCCTATCGATAGTCCAAATATTTGCTTCTAGATATTGTCGTTTAATGTAAAATATGTGGTACTCGCTGTCAGGATGATAAGTCATGCAAACAAATCCTTCTGTACTTACTCTGCTTCCAGAATATCCTCCTCTCGTTCCAAGACCTACAAAAGGGCGATGACTGCCTTCTCGCTTAGGATGCATACTTCGGACAGGTGCGTTCCTCTAGGTCTTCCAGCCAATATGACCAAGTTGCGAAGACAATGTCAAATAACGAAAGGCGCTTACCGGCTTCTCACCTGATATGTTTGTGTCCATGGAGTATACATCGAAATTCACCAACAGTTCCGACCCCACCAACCCAATGTTCTGGATCCTTTGAGAAAGTTCATATTAATTCGAGAGTTTGTCATTTACTTTCTCGAGCTTCAAACAAATGAATTTCGCTAGTTTGTATATTGCTCCATGCTTGTTGTTGACTATTAGTTTTAGCGGATTTCCTTCCTTGTCCATCTTCGATAGTCCGCAGGCTGTAGGTGGTCTTGCGTCATTTTTGATTGAAGATTTCATTATCAATCTGTCTATTTCCCCATCACTATGCATTTTCTTGAGCATATTCTCCAGTTTCCCGTGGATCTTTGTTGTTAGAATCTTTTATTACTATTTGATAAGTTCTACGGTCGCCTAGAATACTTTCCATTTTCTCCGTAAACTGTTGTCTATTCAGTATCATCGTCGCACCTCCATCATCCGTCTGAAGAACTATTTGGTCATTCATTTGTAAGTTTCTACGTATCTCCATCAATCCGCTCCTTTTCATTGGCTCTTGGTGGGACACAATTCTCGGCATTAATTCCATTTACATCTCCCGTTTAGTCTCTTCTGGGAATTTCTCCGAGATGTCGATAAGTTCTACATGGATATGTTCTTAAATGTTTATTTCGTTACCGATTGATAAATGTAACCCTTTCTTCAGGAGATCCACTATTTCGAAATCGGTTTTAGAAGTTGATGCCTTCAATACAGGACCATCAAAATTTTCTCTGAGTGGTTTGATCCTGCGTTGTCTTTTTATCCCATATTTATCCAATTTCGTGTCATGCCGCTAATTTATCAAATCTCGGACCCTCTGTGACTTCTGGTCAATCATACTGTGGAGTTTTTGAAAGCATCCTGAGTGAGAACCCTGCCTAGAACCTTCCTTAATCCAGACTTAATATCTATGAACTTAAGTAGCTTATCGAAGATATGAAGACCTAGATGCTGTGGCCCCCAGTATGGTCTCAGTCTCCTTTCGATTTGTAGAAGTGGGCTGACATCGTTGTCGCAACTTGGTCTTGTTGTCAAGGCGGCTTAGTAGTCCAGTGCTATAGTAGCTATCATAATTACCAGTATCAGGTAGTGGACTTGGTACATTCACAAACGTTTCGCCGGCATCGTAGTCGGCATCATCAGTGAGTATTGCCATTCTACGCACCAAGCTACGAACTCGTGAAAGAGAGAAGTAAAGTCAATCCCTCGACAAACGTTCTGCCAAAAACATTAACACTATCACTCCTATTTCTGTCCTGATCTATCTATCTACTCTTTAATCTCTTGTCCCACTGCCGCCCTATCAAAACTTCTCATTTGTTTACAGTCCACTCGTCAAAATGTATGCCCGAAACCCTAGGTGATTTGGTTAGTTAAGGTCAACTTCTATGCATGTGAGTGTGT